GCCGCCTCCGGCCGCTGCGGCCCTCACCGCTGTCGCCGATGATGAGCAGCTTGAAGAGGTGGTCGTAGTCCCGGGCCATGGCGGGCGCGGGCGGTGCGCGCGGGCGGGCGGGGTCGGTACTGGCCTCGCGAACCGCAGCTCCCTCCGGGCTGCTCCGGCAGCGGCGGATTCACTTCCCGAACAAACAGCCGGAACTGACAGAAACACCTCCCTCCGCTCCCCCTCCTCCTTCTCCTCCTCCTCCTCCTCGGCAGTCGCCGCCGGTGCCACAGCCTCCCTCCTTCCCGCCCCGCCCCGTCACAGCGCAGGCGCAGGGCTTGGGGCCGCCTCTGCGCAGCCGCAAACCTGGCCCGCCGCGCCCTCGTCGCGCACGCGCACCGCGCACGCGCCTTAGCCAAATCCGGGAGGGCGCGGGCCGGTTTTCCTCGGCGCTCCTCGCCGCCGCCTCCTGCGGTCCTGAGTGCTTGCGGGGTGGAGCCACTGTCTAGCTCTAACCGAAAGAAGCCAAGGCTGCCAGGGGAGCCCGTCTGTGATGTCCTCGCTCCCTCATCGTCAAGACCCTCGCACGCGCTGCAAAGAGGGAACGACAGGCACGGAGCGGCCGGGGGCGGGGTTCTCGCCGAGCTCCGGGTTCCTCTGGACTCGGGCGACGGTGAAGACGCGGGCACCCCGCCCCTCTCGGCGCCTGCGCTGCTTCCGCGCTGCTGGGCCGCCGAGCGGGCTGCCGAGTTAGCGCAGGAGTCGCCCGCTGGAGCGTAGCTCTTGGGAGTGCGGCTTGAGGTCGGCGCTGGGTCGAAATCACACAGCGCCCTGTGACCTCTGGAGCCTGACTCGTCTCTGGTTAAAGGGTCCTTCATGGTAGCTGCAGATTGGGAGTCCCGTCCTGCTGGAAGCCGAGCCTGGGAAATGCGTGAGCCTCTGTGTAAGACGCACCCAGACACCGAAAACAGCCTCTGCCTCGGCTTCAGTTTCACACCACCTGCAGATACATAGCTAAAATCGGGTGGCTGGGGAGGCCTGGGCCGCCGGAAGTTGAGCAGTGCTCAGTACTGCAGCTCCAGGTTTTTCCAGTTTCACAGTGAGCTCGCACTTGCTGTACCCACGGCCATCCTTACTGTGGAACTGTTGAGATTTTTAAGTCCTTATTATCTGTTTTTTATAACCCTGACCCTTTCCAGTCAAGCACCTGTTGGGTAGTTCTATCTGCCTTATCAAACTTCTTTTCCTTTAACTTTGTAAAAGCAATGATCGCGGTTTTAAAAAAAAAAAAAATACAGGGCAGGCACAGTGGTGCACAGCTATAATCCCAGCTACAGGGGAGAGTTGAGACAGAAAGATTGCAAGGCCGAGGCTAGTCTGGACAGTTTAAGGAGACCCTATCTCAACATAAATACAAAGAACGTAGCTCAGTGGTGAAGCACTCCTGAGTTCCATCCCCAGTGCAGGGGTGGGATGGGTACAGAAGCATACCAAACCATTCAAGTACGATTTTCCTTCTGAACCACTCCTCACTGGTACCCCTTGTTAATGAGTTTCTTAAATACCTTCAAATGCTTAACAATGGGCTGGGGAGATGGCTCAGTGGTAGAGCTCCTGCTTTGCATGCGCAAGGCCCTGGGTTGGATCCCTGGCACCACAAAAAAGGGGAGACAGAATTGTCAAAATGCTTAACATTAGTTGAATGCATAAATGGCCTTCCATGAACTTCCTGTGCCTATACAAACATATGTATGTCACTTTTTGGTCTTTAACAGTATACTTCTATCGGGTGCATGGCATGGTCCTCCCTCGGATGGCTGTACTATCATTTAACCAGCGCTGTTAATAGGCAGTCATGCAGTTCAGAATTTTTTGTCATTATTAACAATGTTGCAGGCAAGATCCTTTGGCAGCAGGCGGAGTGTCTGATTCAGGTCTTAAGTTGTTTTTCTAGGAGCAGAGTGTGAGATGCAAATGGCATGGGCTTGGAACCTGTAGGTATTGACTGGGGAGAGGAGTTGCTCAGGAGCTCTTGACTGAAAAGTCCTCCTTGACATGGGAAAGTTAGTGTCATCTTGCTTTGTCCCAGGGGTTTTAGGAAATGAGGAAAAGAAAGAAGCCTCAGGGTAACCGGCAGATAAACATACTAGCCTTGAAGTGCCTGTGAGGCAATTGGTCACTGTCGTCTTCACAACCTTCCCTGGGGTCAGAAAGACTTCGGTGTTGATGCCAGCTTTGAAATCTGGGTTCCATCCCTGAAACGCTTTTGGATGTGTTATTCTGTCCTGGAGCCCCAGTTTCCTCACAGAGTACTGTGGCAATGAGAATGTATTTGTAAGTGACCTGACATATGTAGGTCTGTGACAGACAGTAACTAATGTTTTTTGTTTTGTTTGTTTGTTTTTGGTATCAGGAATCGAACTCAGGACCTTGGGCTTGCCAGGCAGGCGCTTGTGCCACTGAGCTGCATTACTGGCCCAACAGTAACTAATGTTAATTAAGGTCATTTTGTACTGACTCCTTCATGTTTCCAGCCATTTCCTATTGTAGACTCTTCCATACATTCCCAGGGCAGTTTCCTGATATTAGGGCTACAGAATACATTGGGAAAATAAAGTGTAATTGGCCATTATGAAGGTGAGAGTCCAAATTTTTCCCAGGATGTATCATCTGGAACACAACAGCCGTTGATTTCTCCATTTATTCACTAACAGGTGCTTTCTGTTTATTATGTGCCGTGGATTGTAGAGGACATAAGACTAGAACCTTTTGGACTGGGGATATAGCTCAGCAGCACAAGTGCCTGCCTGGCAAGCACAAGGTCCTGAGTTCGATTCCTGGTACCAAAAAAAAAAAGAATAAAAGCTTTTCCCTCCAAATGTTCACTGTTGTATCAGAGTTAAGACATACTCGTGAGGAATTAAAAATACATGATCATGCAGTAGAAGAGTAGCTGTCAAATAAACCGTCCAGACTTCATAGCAGGAAAGCTATCACTGCTGCGAAAATGATGGGGAAAGGATTGCATCATAAAGATTTCATGATGGCACCAGAATATGAGAGAGCCTTGAATGCCCCGCCTATTACACAACCGCTGTCATAGCCTGTGAGAATCATCAATTTGGCTTGGAGGGGGAATTCCCTACAGGCCAGGATGTGTGCCTGACATCCATGAATCTGAGCACATTTTCCTGTAGAAACATTGTTTTACATTTACCTTAACCACTGTTCCATGAGGGGCTTTGGTAAAATCAGTCAGGCTCTTTCTCTAGCTTCCTCATAAATATATATATATATGTAACTTCTATGACCTGATCAGTATGTACCACGGATAGCAAGCTTTTTCCTGTTCTGAGCAGCCAGCTTACAGATGAGCTTTTGCAATATCACCTGTTTGGGTTTTTTGTTGTTGTTGTTTTTGTTTTGTTTTTTGTTTTTGGGACAGGGTCTCACTATGCAGTTCAGGCTGGCCTTGAGCTCACTTTGTAGCCCAGGTTGGTCTCAAACTCGCAACAATCCTCCTGCCTCAGCCTCCTGAGTGCTGGAATTACAGGCGTGCACCACCCGCCCAGCTGGTATCACCTGTTTGTACAATAGAAATTACAGCGGGGAAGCACTGGGAGTTTTTGAGCAGAGAAAATAACATCACAATATTTTAATAGAAGAATAAAAATATTATTTTAACAAAATAATATGGCATGTACATGCAGGATAGGCTTCACCTCAGAGCTTTAAAAGTTACTGCTGAAACTCAGGTGAGGTAACAACAGGAAGAGGCAAGTGTAAAAGACAGTGCTAACAATAGCAACCAGATGAAGCAGTCTTTTTAAAAAAAAAAATCACAATTTACCTGGAAACCGGGTTCACACACTGATTCAGTAAATACCTGCTCAGTAGTTGCCAGGCAGTGTGCAGGGCACCAAAAGAAGCATCAGCAACACAAAGCCCTTGTCCTTCAACAAGTGTTTGAAGGCCTGCCGTAGGTCTGGCACTCACCTAGGAGCTGGGGATTTAGTGGTAAGCAAAAATCTGTGTCTTCAGGGAGCTTCTGATCTAGTAGAGAGCATGGGCAATAGACGTGAAAAGAGAAAAGGAGGTCGGGGATACACAGAGGTGTACAGGAAGAGGTGAGCCAAGGAGGTGGTAGCCACTACTAGTGATTTCAGAAATTTGCAGTGAATGAAAGGAGAAAAAGAAGGGTTGGTGGAGAGCACTGGGGCTGGATAGTTTTTATTTTTCAGGAAACAAGATCAGCAAGTCAGTGGTAAGTATTGAATAGTCTTGGAGGAGATGAGCTAAGAGCACTTCCAAGAGTTTTAAGTTTGGCAAGAAAGAGACCTGGGAAGTAAGGAGTCACCAGTGGGAGGCAGAGAGGGCAAAGAAGAAGGGAACCTCAGGCTGGGGCCACGGAGACAGAGACAACAGTGCCCTCGTAGGAAGCCACGGCAGGATGACGGCCAGGGCAGCGGATCCTGGAGGGCTCTGGGATACCCAGATCTCAGGCCAGCACTATGGATTCTGGAGTTGCTGAGTGCTAGGAACACTGCTGTGATCATGCAAGAAGGTGGAATGAATTCAGGGAAAGCAAGTAAATAGGATGACAAGGACCTTAAATGCCAAATGGGGGAAACTTTCAATGTGCTGGCCCAAGAGGGAAGAAATCAAGGAAATGGCATCTGATCGCTCCCTTTGATGGAATGGAAATTGGTCCCTTATCCCATATCTGCAAGCTTGATGCCATTTCCAGTGATTTGGGATGGGCTTTGCCCTGGCCTTATATAGCCTCCAGAAACCAAATGAACATTAATTCTGTGACTGTAGCAACAACGTCATAATTCATCTATCCCACAGTAGGTTCTTGGTATCTTGAATTGTAGTGAAACTGTGTAGAATTTTTTTCCCCCAGTACTGGGGAGTCAACCCAAGGCCTACTCACTGAACTACATTCCCAGCCCTTTTTATTTATTTAGAGGCAAGGTCTTACTTAATCACTAAGTTGCCCAGGCTGGGCTCCAACTTGCCACCCTCCTGCCTTAACCTCCCAGGGTACTGGGATTAGAGGTGTGCGCCACCATCATGCCTGGCCACATGTAGACCTTTAAGAGTTGAGGGAAATAACATAGTTGAGCTGAGTGTGGTGGCACACGCTTGTAATCTCAGCTACTAGAGGAGCTGAGGCAGGAGCATCAAAAGTTTGAGGCCAACCTGGGCAGCTTTGCAAGATTTGTATCAAAGTTAAAAAAAGAAAAGGGCTGGGGAACGTAGTTTAATAGTAGACCACCTGTCCAGCCCGTGCATAGCCCTGGCTTCACTCTCCAGCATCGTGACAAAATAAAATGATCCAGTTGAACCCTCTTGAGTTTGCTTTCTGTCAGGTGTTGGCCAAATCAGGGGTCTCGTTTAACTTAGGGTCAACTACCCCCCTCTCCTGACCTCCAAACCATTTAGGATTTTTTCCTTCTTTTGGATTAGTGGTCAGGACTTTCCAAGACCCCTCCCAAGGACCTGGAAATTGAGAATATTTTCATAATGGCGTTTGCTTTGTACTCATTCACTTACGAGTCTAACGTTTTCCAGAGTTTCTGAGACACACGCCGTCCTAACAGACTGAATGCAGTAGCAGGTGTGAGACTGCAGACCTTAGACTTACAAAAATGCCAGGCACCGCGTCTCTTAGTATGGTTTTTGTTTGGGAAAAGTTGTATCTGTTACAGTTATATATGCTTATGTCCTGGGTTGTTTTTTAATGAAGGCTTTTTAGTTTCTAAAATGCCAAAGATCAGTAGGTAAAATACACATAAGCAAGAGCTTCTGGAGTTCTCAGTAATTCTGGAGTTCTCAGTAAAATATAAAGGCATCCTGGGGCCAAAATGTTGGAGAAAAGCTGAACCAGATCCTGCTGTCCCATCTCTTTGTGTGAGACTCAGAAGTGGTTAGCAGTATCATCACAGCTTTCTCTCGGGGGAATGAGAGACTCAGCTCTGAGGGACTCCCTGCACTCACTGTCCCCGTGACCAGGCTGCCATCTCAAGAAAGAAACCATGCAGAACAGCACCAGAGGGTGCCTGGGGTTTTCCTTTTTGGCACACCTAGGAAGGTCTCACCGAGAAATCCCACTGCAGTACTCCTCCTCCACCCAGCAGGGAGCAGGGACCCTCCTAACAACCAAGGGGCAGCTCGGAGCCACCCAAGCCATTAGTCTCCACCTTTCCTGAAGTGTGAAACTAAATCACTGCAGAGCCACATGCCAAGAACCTGACTAGCTTCTTTAAATTTCTTTTCTAAATTATTTTTATAGCATGGCGCAAGGGCATGGTGGGCAGAGAATCAAGAAATAGGTTTTTATCCAGTTCCCCGGCCAACTGGCTGCGTGATCTTGCAGACAGATATATACAGCTATACTCTTCCTAAAATAAACACAACTGTGTAGGAACTGACAGTGATGGCTAAGTGCCTTTCTGCCTGTGGACACTGACACACCTCTCATGCAGCACTTGTTTTTTTCTTTGTTTTTCTTCTGGTACCAGGAATCAAACACAGGACCTTGCACTTGCCAGGCAGGTGCTTTTGTCACTGAGTTAAATCCCCAGACCCTTCATGCAGCACTTTGGATAGTCGGTCATCATCACTAGTTTTCCAAAGAAATCTGATCTTAAGTTAGTAGTTTTGAACGACTCAGAGCCTTTAGAATTGAATCGAGATGATTCAAAATGGGGGATAAGGCCGGAAGGGGTGGCACGCACCTGGAGCCCCAACACTTGAGAGACTGAAGCAGGATTGCCAAGAGTTCAAGGCCAGCCTGGGGTACATAATGAGTTCAAGGCCAGCCTGAACTACATAGCAAGGCCCTGCCTGAATGAATGAATGAATGAATGAATGAATGAATGAATGAATGAATGACAGATAAGCCAGGTGTGGTGGTGCAGATCTGTAATTCCAGCACTCCAAGAGACTGAAGCAGGAGGACCAAAAAATTGAGCCCAGCTTAGGCAATTTAGCGAGACCTACTCTCAAAGTAATTAAAGGGGTGGGGAGCTAGGCTGGGAATATAGCTCAGCACAAAGGCCCTAGGTTTGATCCCCAGTACTGAAATAAAATGTGAGCCAGTATGACACTGTTCAAATCAGTGAACCATCTGGTTCAATGAATTCCCAGATGTGAAAGCCTGGTATTGTGATGCGCTTTCTACAGTAATAGGTCCCTCTTTTCCCTGACATCCCTCCTTTCACTCATGCCATGTATGTATTGAGAACCTCCTGTGTGTGTCTGGGCTTGTGTGGAGTACACTGTGTCATTCAATCCAGATGACAGCCCTGTGAGGTAACAATACAAAGCGGAAAGGTGCTGAAAGGCTAAGGACATGACCCAGTCATAGAGCTTAACATTAAGCAGTAAAGTTAAGGTTCAAATCTAACTTCAGAGTCCCTGTGGCTCTACTAGACCAGAGCTTTAAATACACTACCTGCATTTCCTCCAAAGTATTTTACAACCTAGACCTTTCAAGTTAGACTAGTTCTTTTTTCCCTTATCCTAATAACTTGAAGCAACTTAAGATACATTCACACAGAATCATGCTTGGAAGAAAAATACTGCTGTCTTTAAAATCCATCAGTAAAATGTCTTCACATCCCTGCACTCAAAATTGTGCCAATTTTGTATTCCCCTTCTCCTCTGGAGTCCCGTGGCATTGCACTGTGGATGGAGAGAACTTAGGTGCAGGTCTGGGTCCTAGAAGGGGGTCTGAATCGCCCCCCCTTATTTCATAATCACCTTGACAATCCACAAAGGTAGAGGCCCTGAGTTGGTTGAAGGACTGGAAGTGCTCAGTTGACAGTTCTCTGATTAGCAAAGGGCATACCATTTTGTCACTGGCTTTCAAGCACATGGAAGGATGAAGAGTCTCCCCTCTGGTGGATCAATGAATCTCTCTTTTAGTTTTCTTTTTTCCAGTACTGGGAATTGAACTCATGACCTTGCGCTTGCCAGGTAGGCACTGTGCCACTGCGCTAAATCCCCGGCCCCGGATCAATGAATCTCTAACCTAATTTCTCTCCGACATTCCCAGCCAGCATCCTAGAAATGCGGTGAGATACTACTGCTCCCTGCGGCCTGCAGAGCCGCTGGGTAGGACTGGTGTGGGTGGAGCCCGTAGGCTAGTCATCTACAGCAGCTTATCCCTCTACCGAGGGTGCTCTATGTGTGTTTTTGTTTCCTGTGCATTCCAAGACAGGAAAGATCTGGAGGCCTTTGAATTGCTCCAAAGAATGAAAAATGCTGAAGCCTGGCCCTCCAGCACAGAAGAGCTGAAAGGCTAAACAAACATCACCTCTGGGGACAGAATTCCATTCACTGGCCACATGACCCTGGGCAAGTGGCCTCTGCCTCCATTTCCTCCTGAAGAAAATAGTAACCAAAAAAAAAAAAAGGTAGCAAAACCTATTTCATAAGATGTTTCAGAGGATTACTGAAATGCTGTCAGATGTTATCTAATTACCACCACGGCCTAAAGGATGACTGAGAGATTTTTAGAGCTTGCATTCCAAATTCATTTAACAGATGAGGAAACTGGTCCAGAGGGTTAGATGACTTGTCCAAGACTACATAGTTCCGCCAACCATCAGGACAAATAGCTTTTGCTTCTTTGCTGCCAAGCTGCACTTCCCCCGGGGTTGGTCTGGGCTGCCACTTCTGGGATTGTGGGACTGTGGCCTGACAAGGTCCTTTTTGCCTGCTCTGTCATGCTGTGACAGCCCTTTGCCACTTGCTTCCTCAGAGCTGCCACCCTCCTTCCAGACTCAGAGAATGATATCCAGCATGCTCTGGGAGCCTTTGAGTCATCTCCGTCTGTGAATCAACCTCCAGCCATCTATTCTGAACAGTGAGATCTCATCTTCCCCTGGTTTCTGGAACTGGAAGCTCGTGTTTTTCCTTCGGATTTTGTTTAACGAGTGCTTCCACCTCGAAGCATGTCAAACTGTCCTCCCAGATGCAGACTGAGGACTGAAAGCCAGAGCTGGAGATAAGCATCTAACCCAAGACCCTGCAGGGAAACACTGAAAACTGCAGCCTCCACTCAACAGGAACTTCCTGCATCTTCCCACACTGCCTGAGAGGTGAGTACACATATAGACAGCTTTCTGGACAGATGCCCTAGGCAGCTGGGAGGATGCTGATGGCCATCTGAATCCCAGAAGCAGGGAACAGTTACCATGGCTACCAAAAACTGAAACCATTGGTTGCCTGGCTATGGGGATCAACTCAGCTGACCTTTCAAGGTCCCTTCCAGTCCTGAGACTCTACAGTTACCCCGAGCCAGCTAGACCAGGTCTGCTGCAAGACAACAGGAAGTCCTGTGACATTAAGGCTTGGGCATAGGAAAGCAAAGATTTTATCAGAAGCACCTCAGAGGTCACTTTGTCTTGTTCATCAGAAGTGTTAAATCACAATCTTATTTTCTACCTCTGCCGCATTAATAAGCAAAAGCTTTCTTTTTTTAGTGTAATATTTTATATCTTTTACACAGCAAGTTTGCTACCACTTTTCTATTTCTCTTCCTTTTACAGCTCTGGCCAGCAATTTTGACAGGACGTTTGTTCCATGTTATGACCAGCAAAACAGCCGAGAAAAACTTGCGTCACTCTGGCCTAGTGGAGTGTGCTCCACCAGACAGGACGTTTGTGTCACAAGCCTTCTAAGAATCAGGAGGAAGGAAGTCATTCATAAAGGAAGCAGATGCTGAACTACAACTCTGATTTCCTCTTGCATGAACTGTAGGAATGTTACTTCACTGAGGGAACAGGTTTCTCTGCAATTTGACCATAGGAAGCTCCCTACCTTTTCAAGTTGAGGTAGGGCCGTGAAGAGCCTAATGCAATACCCACCTTCTCCACAGGGGGGTAGGTTCTCAGGTCTCAGAAGTGTACAGGGACAGATAAGACCTCAGAAGGCAGGAGAGGGGATGTCCAGAAACCAGAGTGCTGCTGACACTTACAAAAATAGTTGCAGACTTTTCCTTATTCCTGATACAGGAAGCTTCATATTTAACAGATGTTTGGAGATTATAAACACCTTACTAATGAGTAAATCAAAGCCTTTATTAAACATTCCTCCTTTAAACGACCTGCACTGAACCCATCCCCTCCCAGACCGGGGAACTGCCAGAGCTGTGTAGGTATCACCTTCCCCCAGCAGGGGTCAGAGCTAGTCAGGCTACACAACATTGAAAAGCCAAGCCAAGACACCACACGGGGCAGGGCTCTGCAGTTCTGTGCCCTGCTCAGGATCTAGGCAGAGGTTGGCAGCGCCAGCTCTTGAACCAGAGCTCAAGCACAGGTGAGGAGGAACCTGAAATTGAGGACACAGACTGTCCTGGACCTGGCTGTGCTGAGCTGGATGGCGGGCCCTGGGCTGCCATTCACCAAGGCTTATTTATGAATGTGCTTTTCCTTCTCTTCTCCAAAGAAAAGGGTGGAAGATGGAGGAGGCAATCTTCAGTTGTGTGTGGGTTTGATTTAAGGCTTTGGCTGTGGTTGGTTGATATATTAAAATACTTTCAGAAATGCCATCTTCTCAGCTCCCCATTGGAACAAACGTATTTTCAAAAATGAAAACAGTGAACAACGATGTGGAGCTGCAGGTGCAAGAGGGCACAGGCTGATCACGTCAGAATGGTGTCGTCCACCTGCTCGGTGGAGTCGGCTTGGCTGGCCAGCTTCTTCAGGGACCTTCGGTTGCACTCATTCAGGGCCTCCAAGCTGGCCACATCTAGGATCTTGGAGAGGGCCTGTGGGGAAGGAAGGGGATGAGGAGACAGAGAAGACAGGCCTTCAGATTTCCTAGTCAAATCAAGACAAAGACGGATGCTAACCTCAGGACTACAACCAGAGGTGGAATGTGACAAGAATCAGATGGGTTCACGGCAGTCCAGAAAGTACTCATTTTGCTTTCCCTGAGCTGAGGCGAGCAGAAGTTACAGTTTTCAGTGCCTATAAGGCTACTGGAGCTGAGGGAACAGGTTTCTGAGCATCTCAGGGCAGTCCTACTGGGATCTAAAGCACAGGCTTGGCTCCTGTGGGGGATTGAGGAAAGGTCTTCTGTTGCCAAAAGGAGTCTGAAAACCACAGTAAATGTGTTTTCAGCACTACGCCATTCACCTGAGCCTCAACCTGCCCCTCAAAGCTAATACACACAAGGTTACAGAGACGAGAATGGGGCTAAGCACTGGCACACAGAAGAAAAGCAAGACAGATGCCGAGGGAGAGCCCTGGGCGCCCCCAGACCCAGGCTCCCACCTGAAACAGCTCCTCCCCCTGCCTCATCTTAAGCAGGTTGACAATCGCCTGGTCGCTGTAGGCCCTCACAACAGTGTTCTTATCCTTGGTGTTGTCAAGAAGAGCCTTCAGGATGGGCTTAATGGCCTGGGGGTCCAGGGGAGGCAGTGGGTCCTTATTTGCCCACCAGATCATCTTCTCAGCCACCAGCCTGATGTCACTGGATGGGTTCTGCAGACTCTGTGAAGAGGAGCAGACAGGCACGCGTAGTCTGTTTCTCAAGAAGCCCGGACTCCTTTCAACATGGGTGACTCCACGGCTCTCTTCCAACGCGGCCCCTCCCACCCTCATGATGGTGAAGGGCGATTCGGCCCCTCCACCACCTCCATCTCATCTCTCTCCCTCTTGGCTCACTATTCCTGCCTCCAACAGAGGTTTCACTTCCTCCAACAAGCCATGCGCCTTCCTGCCCAGGGCTCTGCTCTAGTTGATTCCACTGCCTCGGGTGTGCCTGGCCCTGGCTGCCCACCTAACTGGTTCCTTCTCATCCTCCAAAGAATGAAGACTGCATAAATCAGGGCCTGAACTGTGGGCTCCAGAGGTCATATCTGCCTTGTCTGTCTCTATTCCTTCAGGGTCTAGCCCAGTGGTGGCAAACCTATAGCATATGTGCCACAGCAATTTGTTTATGTCACTGAAAGCTCTAGAAAGCTTGCTGTCACTGGTCTAGCCCACTAGGGTGCACAGTAGGTACTCAGTAAATAAATGCTGTATTAACAAGTGAATGCAGGCTGGTGCATGCGCGCACACACACACAAAATTGAAACAGGCCCTCTGGAAACTCAAGGTGTGTATAGTGAGGTGGACCCCTTTGGAATCTCATTATACAGAGCAAGGTCCATGCACAGCAGTATTGCTATTGCCTGGGAGCTGGTTCCACAGGTAGTCTCCAGCGTGGTCCCATTTCATTACAATGCAGAATTTGCGTCTGATTTCTATGCACATTAATGTTTGAGAAGTGAGCTTTATCACACAGGCTGTAGGAGCCCCGATGTCAGACTCCCTGGCTTGTCTTATTAGGAACTGACATAATAACCACACTAATAAGTGCTGCCACAGCTATGGAGAAGCAGCACAATGAGAAGACTTAAGATCTGAGCTGGCATGGGGCACACACCTGTCATCCCAGCACACACCTGTCATCGCAGCACTCCAGGAGGCTGTGAAGGATCTCAAATTTAAACCTAGCCTGGGCAATTTAACCACCTAGCACTTATTGAAACTCTGTCTCAAAATAAAAGAAAGATTTGAAATAAAGGGCCAGGCATGGTAGCACACACCTATAATCCCAGCACTTGGGAGGCTGAGATAGGAAGATCATCACGAGTTTAACGCCAGAGTGCGCTACACAGTGAGTTTAAGGTCAGCCTGAACTCTCTTAGATAGTAAGACCCTATCTCAAAAAACTTAAAATTAAGAGCTGGGCCTGGTGACGTCTGCCTCTAATCCCACCACTTGGGAGGCTAAAACAGGAGGATCGCCTTGAGTCTGAGGCCAGCTTGGGCTACATAAGTTAGTTCAAGGCCAGCCTACACTACACAGTGAGACCCTGTCTCCACCCTCCCCACCAAAAATTTAAATTTAAAAAACGGCTGGGGGTATAGCTTGGTGTGAAGAGCCTAGTTTCAAAACCCAGTACTGAGAAAAAAAAAAGATTTGAACCCAGGTCTGACCCTGACTTTTGCCCTCCATTCCTGAGCTTCCAGATCTTCTGGAGGCATCCACAGAGAACTGGATCCCAACTAGTCAAAGGTCAGTGTTCTCTAGGCATGGGGGCTGCCTCAGAAGCCAGGCGCAGTCAGTCCCTGCCCCTACTCACCTTAACGAACAGGCTGGAGAGTTTTGCTGGCAACTGTCCTGCTCCAGTCTCAATGTGGTACTTCATGAGGAAGCCCATGCCCCGGACCCCACTCACGGCAATGGGGATCTATGGAGAAACGCCAAGAGTGAGACAGCACAAAGGCATCCTGCTCCCTCCTGCGGCTGCAGAGCCAGGTGAGAACCCCTCTCCCAGGAACGTTCAGGACCCTTCTCTACCCCTCATCCTTTAGTTCTGCACACCAAAGGCTCTTCAATAGCTCTCCGAAGGGTTGCCCTGTAACTGGGTAGAAAAAGTCACCAATTCCCAAAAATTCCCCCTCTCACCAAGAGGGAACAGCTACATCTTCCAACCCTGAGCCTTCATTGTTTAAATGATGCAACTGGAGTCCAAAGGAATCAAGTGCTGGTCCCACAGCAAGTTACCAGCCAGGACGAAACTAGAACCTAGGCCACTGAGCACCCAGCTAGAGAGGTTCCCATGTGACTGGTCCGCAAAGTGATGCTGTGGAGTTCTGGCTAGGGGAGGGGAGGACAAGCACAGCTCTTACCCTGTGAGAGCCTTACCCTGTCTGCCACAGCATTGCTGAGGATCATGTCCTGAACTTCAGTGCTGTATCTGCCTGTACAGAGTCTACGGGGAGCCACATTCACAGCCACAGAGAGTGCCAGGCTCCGGCCGTGGCGAACCATCCAATCAATGCCAGACACGTCCGCTGATGGAAGGACACACCCAGGGTTAACCTGCACTTCACAGCAGCATACCTTCACCCATGCCATCGTAGCTGTCATTCCCCCACCAGGACCAGGGTGCCGACTTGGGCACAATGGTAACCCCAGACCACACTGTATACAACCTCCCTGCTTTACACAGCATAAGTTCCCCAATGTGATAAAGAGGTCTCACAAACCACTCCCATATGGTGACCATGTTCTCAGGGCAGAGACACTCAAGGACAAAGGACCACTGGAAACTCCAATGTTTCAGCAGCTGAATTCCCAAAGAAAGGGTAGTCAAGGTGCTAGGAGATCTTCAGAAGGGGAAGGGAAACAGGTGCCCAGGGCCTCTCCTGAAGAGCTGAGGGGCCCAAGTCCCTGCAGGGAACGCACCCCTCCCCCATACAAAAGACCTACCCAGCAAGTACTGTTGAAGGACAGTACTAAGCTCCTCTTCCGTCAAAAAGGCACAGAGCTCGCCCAGGCACCCAGCAGAGGATATCCGAGTGTTGTCCTGACAGAGCAGAAAGGGGAGTGACTGGCTGCACAATACCACGAGCCCCCACAATACCTTGGGTCCCCACAATACGATGAGCCCCCACAACAAGGGTAAGAAGCAATGGGGAGCCCGGGAGGGAGGGCAGAGAAGACAGCAGGAGGTATTATCCCTGTCCTCACTCCGGACACTTGTGTTCCCGGTACCGGATTGGGACTGCCATTCACTGTGCCTGCCACTTGGTGGGGAGTTAAAAATTACACGTCCAGCACTTAATTATAGAAAACTCCAGTGTGTGCGCATATGGTAATGATCATCACAATAGCAATAATAACCATATTTACATAGCACCTTTCTTCTGCGGAAATCTGAATGCTTTACATCTGTACCTCAGTTACTATCAACAGCCCTGTCACACAGAAGGGACACAGCTGGGAAAGACCCTGACACAGAGAAGGAAGCCACCTGCCCACAGCCACCTGGGAAGCCGGCTAGACAGCCACTCTGAGCAACTTTCCCCACCACAACTCTGTGTCATCTTAGGTCCAGAATGACTCCCTGCTATCTCTACTTAGCAGTGCCCTAAATAATTTGCATTTGTCCTAGAAGTGAAAATGAAGTCCATATTCAACCCAAAGAAGATGGGGAAAGGCAAGCATTTTCCATCAAAATCCAGGCCAGGTACATAGACCACTCCTTGCTGCTGTCCCTGGAATACTGAGAGGGGGATTTTAAGTTATGTGCTCTATGACTAATAAGTACCAACCTGATATATCTCTCCAAACCAAGCAACCAGAAACTTTTGGGAAAGCTAATGCCAGGCCGGCATTCTGAATCACCAGCAGTGTGGGCCTCTGAGTTTTAAGTTGAAGTCAAAGTTCTAAGCAAGGCCAAAAGCTGGCTTTGACACCATTCTCTCAAATGTGACTTCATTTAAGCTCTGCTGTGGTAAAATGCAAATTTTAAAAAATACTTTTGCTTGCCCTATTCATGAACCTATGAAAACCCTAGTAGACTGTGACCAGAAAAGGGAGTGATGGAAGGACACTCCCATCCGTACCCACAGATGCCAGGGGCTGTGGGCAGAGGAGTGGCTGAGGCTCGGAACCAGACCCATACAATGTGACAAGCACAGCAGCATCCGTGGCCCCAGGTGTCTGCACACAATGAAGTGTGAAACCACACACACCCAAGGGCCCTCTGTCTCCTAAGATTAGCGCTACACATGTAAATTAGGCCAGCACAACAGAGGGCCATCTGTGAGAGGGAAAAGAGAAAGCCCTAATCCAGGGACTCACCTCCCCCACCTCCTGCTGACCTGCTCCCTGCTGGGAAGCCTGGGAAGCTAAGGGGACTTAACAATGTTTCTGGACCAGACAGGGCAAGCAGAATTGGGCAAAACCAGGAATCACAGGCCCAGATTCAGGTTTGAGTCTACCACTTGATAGTGTGGCCTGAGATAAGACGCACTCACCAAAACAGTGCCAGGATCCCCCATTTGGAAATATACTAGAGAGATGTTCAATTTCTTGAGGTTTATGACCACGAGGGCTTATTCACCTATGGGTATAGCCCTTAAGCTTGTGGACCAATCTGTGAACCTCTTTGTTTTTACAAAGGAGGAAATGAGGGGCAGCGAAGGAAAGTGAATTAAGGTCACAGTGCAAACTGGTGAGAGATCTGGTACTTTACAAACCTTACTTTGCCTTATATATAAAACAGAATCATAAGGCTTGGTGGTACAGCACATATGACATGCATGAGGCCCTGAGTTTGATCCCAAGGACAAAATAAAAACTACAAAACCAGCATTATCAAAGTTACCTGCTTGACTCCCTCAAGAAAATGCTCAGTAAACTGTGGAGGGCTACAAGCACCAGAAAGATTACTCCTGACCAGCTGCCAGCTGTATTAACTTCTGACACATACAGAGAAGCTGACCAGGGGAGATGGCAAACCGGTGGAACTCCCCACAACTCAGGCACCCCCACAGCCATACCTCATCGTGCCCCAGCATGCTCAGCAGGAGTGAGACGATGTTTTTCCGAATGATGGCATCCACTTTAGCACCTGCTCCCTGAATCACAAACCTCAGGGCCTGCAGCATAGTGTCCCTACGGAACCAACATTGACTTAGCCTTCGGCTGTCCCCCACCACTGCCTTCCCGCATGCACAAGTGCAGCCTGGAGCAGCTGCCTGGCCTCCTTGGGGCTGCAGCACACCTTTAGCAGCACCTCACCTGACACCAGGGTCCTCCATGACCCGGATTCCATTGAGCAGCTCTGTGAAGAGAGGATCCACCTTGATATGGATGGAAATGAGCTTCCCCAGCGCATCAGCAGCCTTTAGGCGCACACCCCGGTTGGAGTCCTGCAGGGCTTTGGTGAAGGTCGTCTGCAGCTGGGGCAGGAAGGGCTTCAGGGCAATCCCAACCTGAGGGAGAAGCCCACATCTGAAAATTACAATTGTAGAGGACCCCAGGCCATGGTGTATCAAAGACATGAAAGCAAATCACCATAAACCACCTCTCACACATGGCTTAGGAACAGACAGCCCATAAGAAAGAAGAGCCAGGTATAGACAGGCTCTGCTCAGCCTCCTCATCTGTTTCCAGAATCCTTCCCTGAACTGAGACGAGAAGGAGGAGAATAGTCACTGCAGCAGCCAGTCAGAGAGAGCTGTGTTACAGTGGTCCCAGCCATAATGAGACAAAGACAAGCAACTCAAAGCTTCCTATGACTCATGGAAAGAGTAGGGCAGGCAGGCAGAGGGTGGCAGTGCTGAAGCAGTTACACAAGATAGGGAGATGCACTAGCTGTGTTACAGCAAGCGCCACCGAGCACAGAGTCCCCAGAACGATGACCTCAGAGGGTCCTCCCTATATGCCCGCCTATTACAAATCCAGCTCCGTCCCTGGCCATGCAGAAAAACAGGTACACTTTTGATAAAATATAGATGAAATGAGGAATAAAGTTTACTTCTTATTAAATAGGAAACACAGTGGCTGTCTGGCGAGTCTAATACCAATGGTAGTCTGGAAATACTGGACTTGGGTGAATACGCAGGCTGCCCTGTGGCACGCCGTAGGGGAAGCCGGTAAATCTGAGAAGCTTCCAGCCCCAGGGTGACATCTGCCTCCTGGGTGAGGGAAAGGCCCCATGAAGAAAGGGGCTCCATAATAAAACCTCCATGTGTGTCTCGAGTTAACACGAAAAAAAAACAGCGCAGAATGCAGGTGAAGGTAACACATTCCCCCACATACATGGAACCAAGGGCCATGGAACCACAGAGCTATACTGCCGGCCCTTTTTTATTTTGAGGCAGGGTCTTGCAAAGTCACTATGTTGCCCAGGCTAGGCTCACATCTGGGATCCACCTGTCTCAGCTCCTCACAATGCTGGGATTATAGGCATGTGGCAGTACACCTGGCTTATTTTTTTTTTTTTTCTTTCTTCCTTCTGTTTTTTTTTGGTACCAGAAATCGAAGTTAAGACCTTGTGCTTGTGAGGCAGGCGCTGTGCCACTGAGCTATACCCCTGGCCCCTTTCACTCTTCGTTCGTTCGTTCGTTCGTTCGTTCGTTCGTTCGTTCGTTCTTTCAAGACAGGGTCTCACTATGTAGTTCAGGCTGGCTTTGAACTATGTACCTCATGCTGACCTCTAACTCAAAGTAATTCGCCTGCCTCAGCCTCTCAATCTGCTGGGATTACAGGCATGCACCACCATGCCTATTTTTTCTTTTAAAGAGTCAATTTTCCACAAAAAGAGGATGATATTCACAATCTCATATGGAAGCTGAGAAGTTCAAAATACACACTTCAGAAGGAAAAGCTACAAATCTTAGTTATGCATTTACTTCCAATCTGATGAGAATTTTTTGTTTTTAAACAATAAATCTTAGCTCTGTACTTTTTTAAGTCTAAGGAGCTTAATTATTGCTCTGTAAAGTATCAGAAATGGTTCCTATATTACATCATTGCTCATTATACTTTGGGGGGAAAAGTCATTTTAGTTTTCTCAGATGTTTCATTCACTCATCAGATTCTTTGCATCTCCTTTTATGAGGCCATAACAAATGCTGAAGTAACTTTATTTATTTATTTTTTGTTTTTTGAGACAAGGTCTTGCTATACAGTTCAGGCTGGCCTTGAACTCACTATGTAGCCCAGAACTCACAGTGATCCTCCTGCTTCAGCCACCCAAGCGCTTGGATTACAGGCATGCACCACCATACCCAGCCTAAAATAATTTTAAACAACTATTTCTATTTCTGTGGTCCTGAGTTTTTTCCTCTGAAGCAGTGATTACTCAAATTAATCACAATTTCTATGTCCTGAGTGCTTAGTGTGCCAGGCATTGTGCCTGATGTCATTTCACTTCCTCCCCACACGTAGCAGTCCCTCAGGAAGCAGGTAGCATTACAGATCTCACAGGTGAGCACGCAGGCTCAGGGAGAGGTGACATGGCTTTCCCACGGTCCTTCTGGACACAGAGTACTGAAAGGGGGACTTGGCACTGAACCATATATAGTGTACCTGGAGGCTGAGGGCTCAACTCCCTCCGCGATGCTGTGTCTCCATAATAAAGCCTCACCTGCTGCCACAGGATACCCGGGTCAGTGTCAGTCTCCTGCAGATCACTGGTGCTCACCTTAGCCAGCAAAAGGCTCAGTGTCTCGAGCAGAGCCGCCTTCACGTTCCAGCTGAACCGGTCCCCCAGGATGCGAATTAGAGGGCCAGTGATGCTAACCACAGAGGGCCTCAGGGCATCAGCCGAGGTCAGGCGGATCACTAAGCCTAAGGCCTTGGCAGCTTCCTCCTTTTGCTCGGGGCTCCCAGTGAGGACTCCTTCCCGCAACACAGGAAGGATGGAAGTTACTCCCTAAAAAGAGAACCACAGCTGAGAGCCCAAGGTCCAAGGCTCTGAGCCCATGTGTTTCCCATGCAAGGTGCTCCCTACAACCAACACTGTCAGCCCCACGAGAGACGGTGATGGGCTGCATCTTAGGTCGAGGGCCCCAACAGGTCCACACACACAGAGGTAACAAGCAGCTACCACCTCGGTGAGCCACTTGCTCTGGCTGAGCTGACCACCACAGCTTAAACCAAGGACAACATACTCCCGACCCCCGTATCTAGCCACCAAGGCAGAAGCATGCTGTTTGTGATGTGCTGAAGAGCACGCGCAGCATGAAGTCAGACCCATCCACCACTATTCCGGTGGTCCCACTGTGGACCTGAGCTGGAGGTGAAGGTGCACGAAGGCCGCATTCCCGAGCACCCTGGCCACCAAGCCCTGCTTACCTTCTTTGGGAGGCAGAAGCCTGGAACATGCTCGCCTTTGCTCTCGTTGCCAATGAACCGGATTTCTTTGTGCAGCTCTTCAATCAGCGCCAACTGGTTGCCAGCATCCAATTTCTGTGAAAATCCAAAAGGAACAGTGATGATGTGCAGCCTTTCCTCTCAAGACTGCTTCAAAACAACACAGCGAGGGGGATGAGCAAGACCGGCCACAGGAGAGTCAGCACTGAAGCTGAGTGACAGGGACATGGAGTGTTCCTGTCACAATCTAGTCTTACAAATGGTTGGAATTTTCAGCCAGGTGTGGTGGCACATGCCTGTAGTCTCAGCACATGGAAGGCTGGGGCAGGAGGGTCGCTCGAGCCCAGGAGTTCCAGACTAGACTGGGCAACACAGCAAGACCCCAACTCAAAAACAAAGAAAAGGACACAAATATATGGGACTTCTCCAATCAAAAGCTGGTTGTGGAGTTAGTGGTCCCCTCACCTTGGTGATGGCATTTAGGGCATCCCAGCTCTCTTCCAGAACCACAGGGTTTGAGTCGTTGAAGAGGCGGATCAGGCCTGAGACCAGGCTCCGCAGGTGGCTCGTGTAGTCGGCCTTGGAGCGGGAGCAGTAGATGTTGAGGATGATGGCAGCAGCCTGCCTCATGCCCACCTCAGGGCTTCGGGTGGCTTCCAAAAGGTCTTCAATAATGATCCGGTGCCCAGTGTCATCTTCTACTGAGAGGATCACAGCCTGACAATTGGCCATCTCCTGAAAGCCACAGGGAACGTGCACGCTGAGCACTGACCCTCACAGGCAGGAGAGGCTGACCGTTAGAAAGTGATGGGAGTGAACACGACCACCTTACCAGCTGCTCATCTGGAGTCCCGAGCTTCTCCTTCAGGGCTAACATGACTGCAGGAAGGATCACACCAAGATGACGGGTCAGAGCGTCACCTGCCACAGACGAAAGGAAAGCCAGCACCCGCGTATTGACAGGTGGTGTTGTCAACTGGAAGAATGAGGAACAAGATCAACTTGATGAATACCGCACCTGCTCAGAGTCCGGCCCAGCAACGGGCTCTGGGAACAGAGGGGCGAGCGAGGGAGTGTCCCTTGTGTCCCTGCTCAGAGAGGAGGGCCTACTCAGGCGTATCTTGGCGGACAAGGGAAGAGTGTCCTGCCCACTGTACCTCCACCCTCCCAACAGCTATGTTCAGAACTGGCCTTCACAGCAGACTCGGGAATAACAGTGTGGCTCTGTAAACAGAGTGTTTACCATGTTGGGGTTTACCTTGGGCACGAGGTAGGGCAGCACCACACGACTCTTAATGGCCATAACTTGCTTCAGACCATCCAAGGCGAATTCGGATACCTCCTCATCATCCTGAAGAGGGACATTGGGGACAACACTGAGAAGCTGGCTCCTGCCACTTCTCTGTTGTCTGAACTGGCCGGCCACTGCACGCCACCTTCTCTGCCTGCCTTCTTGCCTTTCACTGCATCCATATACTTACTGTCTAAGGAGAGGCCCAAGCCAAATCTGCTCTAGCTACCCCCACTCCCCTCAAAGGGCCCACACGCTGACTGCCCTGGCAGTCACTTCTCACATTCTGCTGCTAGAGGCAGTAACAGCCATGTTGGTAGGTGTGTGGCAGATCCACTCACCAGCTGCTTCAGTAAAAACGGGAGGATGTCCTCCAGGGCCTGGTGGCCAATGGTGGAGTGCAGCTGCTCAAAGGTCTTGGCTGCCGCCTCTCGGACCTCCTCCAAGGGGTCACACAAAGCCTTCCTTGCTGTGGGCACGAGGGATTCCGAGAAATACAGTACCTGCAACAGTGCAAGCAAGGGTGTACCAATAAGGAAAAGCCCAAACGGAGCAGCAGCAAACAAGGGGTCACAGGCCAGGGACGCCAACCCAGCCAAGCCGCAACTCCCTCTACAGGACTTTTTGGTTAACCTAACTCTGTTGTGAAAATACTGAAATACAAAAAACAGAGAAGATCTGTTATAAACCCCCCATGAATCCCTCACAAAGACTAACAACGAAGTTCTCCACTGTCCTGGAGAGTTCTCCAGACATTTCTCGTCTTCTATAGGAGCTCCTAATTCCTTCCAGAGCAAGGACTGCAGGATCTAGCCCCTCTTCTCCCTAGACTCCTTCATTTGTCCATTCTCTTGGGAAATTTCCAGTCTTTCTTCAAGCTTCCCACCAAATACCTCCCCCTCTATGAAGGGTGTAACAGCCCAGTGATGGTTCTGCCCCTGGACAACCAATCCCACCACAGTAAAACTCACTGAGTTCTACTGACTGACTGCTGTGCCAGCATCACCACTGGACTGTGGGGCTTCTGAGCGTGGCGATGCAGCCTCTGAGGACTCAGGAACTACTCAATTATTCCCAAGTCTTCTGGTGACAGAATTTCTTTTGATACTTTGCCAAATGGAGATAGAAATAAATGAATGAATGAATGAATGCAAGGCCTACTCCTGGAGGAGATGCAGCTAGTAACCAGGCTAGGTGTTCACGCTAAGCAGCTGGCTACCTGCTTCCATTTCTAACTGGCCATCTACTTACGCACTTCCATACTATCCAACTTGAAAGCATTCCCAGTCTACTTGCTGCAAGTGTTTCAAGGATCAATGACCTTAGAAATAAGGTCAATCCTTAGAAAGAAAGTACTCCAAATCCTTTATGTTGCTACTATGGAAACAGAAGTACTGTTACAGACAATACATTTCCACCCACCAGGTAGTTAAACACTTCCCTCCTCCTCTCCTAAGAATGAGTACTTACCCCTCCTGCTCCCTGCCACACTCTGCACTTGTACTCACGCACAGCCCCCTTTCCCACGAAAGAGGCACCACACATTTTAATCTAATTGGTAGAGTGACACAGAAGAGACTGATCTGCAGCAACCTAACGAGTGATGAGAAAGTCATCTCTAGTTTCCAAAGGCTACTTCAGGAGGCATCCAAACTGCTTAGCTCTTAGCCTACAAAACTGACAGCAAAGCCGTGAAGGAAACAAGTCCACATGTGGCTCAGCCAGTAACCTGCTGCCAACAGCGCCCTCCAGAGTGAGGCCCATGTGTCCCCGAGGGCAGGGCTTCTGTGACATCCCCCTGACCTCTCAGTCAGACACCTTCAGGTACACCATCTGCGGGACTCTATGAAGATACTCACGGCATCCCGGCTGGTGGACTTCATGATCTCGCTCAGCCCAATGCACACACCCTGTCTCTCATCGCTCTTCTGAGACCTGAGGCCTTCTTCAAGGATGGGGATGATCTCAGGGAGGATTTTCTCCCCTAGCTTCCGGACGAGGTCTCCCAATGTCCTTGCCGCAATCTGTTAGCAGAGATCAAATCAGAACATCAACTCCTGGCAACACCAAGGTACCCAGAGGACCAGAATGAGGATCCTGGAGCCTCCTAGGCTTTATCTCAGTCACTCATTCAATTTCCCCCAAATGCTCTCAGTCACAGGGTGCTCAAAACACACCACAAAAGCAAACTACTCTGTTTCACACACATCAACACAGCTTGAAGCAAGAGCCAGCACCTTATATATGAACATGAACTACATCATACGCTGCACGATCAAACCAGTTTCCCTGGCTCATCCAAAACTTATCTCTGTGCTCTTGCTCAGGGGGTTGAATCTGGAACAAATGCTTTAAGGAAGAAGAAGAAAAAAAAAAATCCACCTCCTCTCTGGAGCTTCATGCAAACTCTTCTTTAGCACCAAATATACAATTTGCTTGCCAAGGCCAGGGGCTAGAAGTACGCCAAAGAGCACTAGCAGGATCATCAGTCTAGACTGGGCACCCCCTCCCAACCGCTGAACGCCATCTGTCCCCACTTGGTGCACCAGTCTTCTCTCCCACCATACTTGTTCCTTCCTGATTCTTCACTCCAGCTGCTCTGCCTTGCTCTCCTTCCCAGGTGCCCTGGTGCTGCCTACCATGGGAACCTGGCACACCCCAGCCTTGGATCTCAAGTACCATTCCCTCTGTGGAAGTCTCTCACCATCTCCTTATTTGGTTAGTGCTCACTCATCTTTCATCCTCAAGAATCACTTCTTCTAAGAGGTCTTTGCTGAGCCCTCGCTAGGCCACGTGCCCAGACCATAAGCATGCGTAAGTGCACTTGCACTTGCCACCGCTGTATCTGACATCTGTTTGTGTGATTATCTGACTAATATGCATCTGCTCAACCAGACTACAGATGAGCAGCATAGGGAATGAGACTGCCTTTCTTCTCCATTATATCCCAGGTACGAGGCCCCTGTGAGACACACAGTAAATATTTGTTAAATGACTAAGTAAATAAATGTCCCTCTATTAAGACAGGAGACCGTCACCCCTCTCCCAGGCTTTGCAGCTCCTTAGGCTCTGCAAGGAGGCACTGGGGCTGGTGGGCCACAGCAAGGCCCAGGAAACTTACTGTTCTCTTGTCTGCACATGTGCTGGCCAGGAAACCCAGCAGCAGCCCAAAGAGAGTGGGCAAGATCTCACGCAAGGTGCGAGGGGTATTGGAAACAACAATCTTCCAGACATGCAGGGACGCCTGCCGCACAACAAGCTGGGTGTCTGAGCGGCCCATGTAGAGCCCTGCCAGTACTCGGTTCCGCCGATCAACCCCGAGCGCAGTGATGATTGCCTGCAGTCCACAGAAAGGGGCAGAGAACACGGTGGTGAACACAGATGGGCACCAGGATGTATCCTCCCATCAGCACAGGGAGGAAACCAACGCTAGGCACAACCTTATTAGATTGAGCAGTCCCAAAGTTGTCATCTTCAGAAGCGGTTTCTGTGGTCATCTTTCCAGTGACCCCTGAGATATGGAAGAGGAGGTCTCCAAGGAGCTGAACAGAGCTGAACCTGCAAAGACCAAGAAAAGGGGCACGGTCTCAGGAACACAGTCTCAGGGCACAGCCCAGCACTGCACAGAAGACTGGAATGCACCCCAAATATTCATGGTGCTTATTTGGAAATGTAAGAGTCCAGATAATTTTCTACCAAGTGTAAGGCAAGGATTCAAACCCTAGCACTACACTGAGAAGAAAATAAAAAAGGAAAAAGAATAATCCACATTTTTTTAAAGCATGTGTGAAATTTCCATAATAAACATTATAAAAAGAAACTAGGCATGGTGGTGCACACTTGTAATCCTAGCTACTCTGGAGGCTGAGGCAGGAGGATCTCAAGTTCAAGGCCAGCCTGGGCCACTAAGTAAGACCATGTCTCAAAACAAAATTTGAAAATAGGGCTAAAAAAAAAAAAAGCTAGAGCACCCGCCTATAACATGTGAGATCCTGGCTTCAATACCTAGTACTGAAAAACAAAAAGAAGAGAGTGAGGGCAGCAACAAGGAATATGGACATCACAAGCATAGAACCCTGGAGAGGCCAAGAAGGATGAATTTTATTTCTCTTCAACTTTATTTCTCTTCAAATTGCTTTTAGTGGGGCTGGGGATTTAGCTCAGCGGCACAGCGCCTGCCTGGCAAGCACAAGGTGGTGAGTTTGATTCCTGATACCGGAAAACAAACAAACAAACAAAAAAACTGCTTTTAGTGATTAGAAAAATAATAGTCAAAAAAAAAAAGAAAAAAAAATAATAGTCATATTCAAACTGAAAATTTAAGAGATACAGAAGGAAAGAATGTAAAGAATCACCCAACGCCCACTATCCAGACACCCACTCTGAGACAGATGCTTCCCAGCATCCACTTCTCCACACACAGACATGCGCACTCCATGCGATGTGCAAAGAAGGTCTGACTAGGTGGCTGGGCTACAGCCTGCACTGTCTGGTCAATGACAGGTTGAGCTGCTTCCTGGGTTATTCAATACAGTCCTTTACGATTCTCTGAAGTGTCTGAACAAAAGTCCACTGTGTGGATGTGTTATGAGATTTTTATGGGAACCTCTAATTCTCTCTTTTTTTTTGGTACCTAGAATTGAACTCAGGACCTTGCACTTGCCAGGCAGGCACTTGTGCCACTAAGCTATATCCCTGGCCCTCAAACCTCTAATTTTCTAAATGATAAGCAATACTGCAATAAACATCCTTTTGCATCCAGCTTTAATCACTTGACCAAATACATTCTTAAAATAAATTCCTATGAGTAAATGCAATTTCAAGAAGAATATTCATATTTAAAATCTTAACACAAACTGTAGGAAAATCGATTCTTCTTTTTCTTTCTTTCTCTTTCTTTTTACTTTTTCTTTTTTTTTTTTTTTTTTTTAGTTGTTTTAGCTAAGTACTTATCTCTTAAATGTGTTTTTTTTTTTTTTGGTATGGGGCATTGAACCCAGGGCCTTCACACTGAGCTACATCCCCAGTCCTTTCTTTTTTATTTTGAGACAGGGTCTCTTGCTACATCATGAAGTTGCTCTAGCTGGGTTCAAACTTAGCACCTTCCTTGCCTCAGCCTCCCAAAGCACTGGGATTAAAGGTGTATACCACACCCATCTCAAAAGAAACTGGAGGGTGACAAAAGGAAAGGTCTAGAGAAAGTTGAGAGAGGTCTTGGCAACATTCTGCTCTTTATTTCTCTTTTATTTTTTTTTCTGGTACTGGGAATCAAACTCACGACCTTGTGCTTGCCGGGCAGGTGCCATGCCACTGAGCTAAATCCCTAGCCCCTCTGCTCTTTATTTCTCAATTGTAGTTCCTAAAAAAAAACCTCAGGCCCAGCAGGCCTGTCAGCCACATCCTCACCGTATTCTCCAGAGGTCATCAAAAAGGCCTTGCTCCAGCTGGGGCAGCAGCAGCGCGATGGCTGTCTCAGCGTACATGGAGATGACCCGCTGGCCCGCACGCAGAGCAGTGTCACGCACAAACTCGTTCTCGTCAGCCAGAGCCTGGGCATGCAGAGAGTGGGTCAGCCAGGGCTGCCTCTGCCTGGGCAGCCTGACCGAAAGGAAATGGGGCTCCCTGAAGGGCAGGATAGGGACTCCTATCCTCTCCAACAGAGCAGGGGCATCCTGCCCACCTTAGGTCTTCCATCCTCAGTGAGATCATTGGTACCTACTTTGAGAATACAGGGGATGATGGGCCCCACATAAGGGGTGAACTTGTCCCCAAATGTAATGGGCAGGTAGTTGAACATCATGATGTAGCCATCTCGGACATGGGGTGCAATGTCCACTTTGCTGGCAGTAGCTACAATTTCCGGCATCAGCTTCTCCAACTTCTCCACTCCCAAGCCGGCCATGACCTCAGCCAACCCTGTGACACAAGAACAGATGAACTCACTGGATCTGAGGGTGCCTGGATGGCATGAGGTCTGGCCTCTGGGCCTGCTTCAGCCTCACCCTGTGCAGCGCCTGAGCGATCCACCGAGCTCTGTTCATAGGTCAGTGTCTCCATCAGCCATGGTAGCAAGTCCTCAAAGCACGATTCCCCCATGCCTTTCACCATGGCTCCAAGAGCCTTGGCAGACACTGTCCGCACCTTAACAGGGACAGAAGGAGAGGCAGCTCCCAATAAGGTAGCCGAGCAGGGGCAATGAGGCACCCCTAGCCTCCTTCCCTTTGCCTGAGAGTCATACAAGTGCTGCAGAATTCCCAATAGTCAGTTTTCTGCAGACCAAGCTAAAAGAGTGAGCTTCCTCCACCCTGGACTCACCTCAGGCACGGGATCCAAAAGAGAGGCTTTGAGACCAGGTGTCACGCTGGGCAGGTATGGGGCCAAGTCCTGCAACAACAGGGGAGGAGGCTCAGGTGCAGCCCACCTCCTGCTTTCTCGAGACCCAGTTCCGCCGTGCACCTGATCACTCTGTTCTGCTGACAGGGAGGACCAGCGGGGCCTCAAGCACAAAAACTGGGCTGCTCACAGCACGCAGGTACTGGCAAAGAGCTTCCCCTCTGACCTGGCCTTGAAGGCACCACGCAACTGCTCAGGGAGACCTACAAGATTAGTGGCCCCTCCCCAGCAGGTGAAACACAGCTGCCAGACACAGACCAAAGCCCAGCTCCACACACCTTCTCTCAGGACAAGGGCCTGGAGCCCTTATGAAATATTTCTGGTCCTTTCCTTTTAGAATTTCCTTATCATCTTCCTTTTTTCACCTCAAAATGTTTGTGTCTTAGTGTAGCCTTCAGTTTTAGGGAACAACTTTAAATATAGAAAATGCCTTATGCTCACTGCAGCAGCCCTTAAAATAGCATTAAAAAAAAAAACCTTGGACACTGTGTGACCAATGTCAGAATTACATAAGTTATGGTATATAAACTTGGTGGACTGTGATATAATTACAAACACTCAGTTTTGTGAGCAAGTTAACTATAACTTGAAAATACACTGCAATTTTTTAAACGGAATCTAAAAATATTTATAGTAATTGTTTTAGTGTTATGGGACTGTATATAATTTTTTGTTTTAAAAATGTCTTTAATTTCCTTAATTTTCTAGGATTGACATAACTTTTCACTTCTTTTGTTCATCAAAGCAGAACTGGTGGTGAAATCACATGTGCAAGTTCTTGAAAGCAAATAAAGCAAAGCTCCCAAACTAGACTCAACTCCTCATGGAGGCTTATAGAAGTCTCTAGACAAGACTATCACGAGGAAAAGTAGCAGCTGTTTCACCAACACTCCTGAAAAGTCAAAGGAGAAGGTGGGCTCTTTCTCCATGTCAGGTTACAGGGCCCAGTGAGGGGCCTCAGTCAAGCACCAAAACAGAACTACATCAGTCTAAAACCACCATGTTCTGGAAGATGCCCAGAGAGACCAAATTTCTATCTCCCACCTAAATGGCCCATTTTCCCCTGAAAACATAATCATGGGAATAAAACTTGGAATGTAGCTCAGTGTTAGAGCGCATGTCTAGCATGCAGGAGGACCTAGGTTCAAGCCATAGCAGCATAAAACAACAAAAAGTCAAAACCAGGAACCAGTGCCTACATCCTCCCACCTGCTGTGGGCAGGGACTCCATACCCTAAACCAGCTGCTATTTGTCTGTCTCACCAGCCCGAGCTAAGCCGCTACCTTTTGGTCTGTCAGGGAGTACATGTTGCCAATAATCTGCGCCGCCATCTTCCGTGTGTCTGTAGAGCGATCCTGGAAGGCTCTCTGGACAATGGGCATGATGAGGGCAAGGGATGGAGCATCAATGAAGTGGACAAACTTGGTGTCCAGCAGGGTCTGCAGGCACTTCTGGGTCTTCCTTGACGGGTCCGTCAGGGCATCCAGCAGGACAGGGGCGATAGCTATGGGTCCACACAGGAGAGAGGCTGGTATGTACAAGTCCATGGAGCAGCAAAGCCACAGGATCCCCAAACCAAAGTGGGCAGAGGAGCAGAGAGCCTGGAGCACCTCGCCCCTGAAGTCCCACGAGCTGCTTGCTAAAGAACTCATCCTGGGGCTGGGGATTTAGCTCAGCGGCAAAGCGCCTGCCTGGCAAGCGCAAGGTCGTGAGTTCGGTTCCCGGTACTGGAGAAAAACCAAAAA